TAAAAAAATTTATCTTTTCTCAATATATAAATGTGTGCAATAAAATAAAAAATCTGACGGCAATAGAAATATTAATTATATTTTATTAATATCATCTACACATAAATGTTTATTTCTTATGTATTTATTTTCTCGTTTTAAATGAATTTTATTAAGATTATCTGACAACTGCAATTTGTTTAATATAGCTCTTACAGCCCTTCTTTGTTCACAAACATTAAGTTTAATAGAGCTAATTACTATTTTTATTTAATTATATTTATAAATTCCTTAATAAATTCAAACTTATTATTCTTGTTTTTACATTATTACATTAAAAGATAATATTGCAAATATAAGTTGAGCATAATAGAAAAAATAAATAAGTGTAAATAAGTATAATATTTCACAGATCCATTTTATCTTTTGAAATGAAATAAGACATATATGAGCAAAAATATTTCAATTCATGAATATCTACGGATATAAAAGAGAAATGAGATCTTTGCATGAAACCGGTTTATCGATATTCGTCTGAAGATAATTTCAATAAACGATATTTCGATAATATATGGAGAATTATACACATATGGAGTTATACGTACAGTTTTTGCATATTTAGGATTTATTGATGATCATGTTTTTATATTCAGTGACGTACGCGTGAGATATGTCTGAATCTTTATGAAAAAATAGATTGCAGGTTTTTTTCCTACTTGTCATACTAGAGAAAAATGGAGATACAATATCGCGCGCGCCACGTCAACTCCCTACAATTAAATTTCCGCCAATTAATTCAATGTGCGATGACATTAAAAACTTCTTATTGATTGTTTGAAAATAAAGTTGAAGTATATTATCACAGTATATGCAGGATCTAAAGAATTTTTTATGATAAAAAAGAAGAGAGGAAAGAGAAAAATGTGACTAAGTTTTTTTTTTAAATACACTAAACTAATTTAACTAAATGGTCAGACAATTTTGAATACATATATTGTACACATTAAACACATATAGCGTGAAAAATAAATATTTCTAGAAGTCGTTATATTTTTATTACAAAATTGCAAACGAGAAACTTTATTTCTTAAGACAGAATTGCTCTACGGAATTGCTCTACGGAATTTTAATTTGGGGCTTGCTTATTAAAATGCTTAATGTTGAAAATTAAAAAGTACCTTCTGCTGCATTTGTGCTAATTACGGTAATCTTAAGACGATTTTACATCTTACAAGCGTATCATTGGAGCATTATACACGAACATAGTTTATCTGCTTCGACATGTAAGGTGACTTTGCAAATAAGACAACTGAAATAAGTTGACAACTGAATAAGTTGTTATTTCGCACATGCATTTTTCATTTGACTGAACTTTATAGAATTATAGATAGTCGCAATATTATACAGTGATACGCAAAATATATCCGAAATACGCGATAGACAGTGACACGTTGCACATACATATGTACATGAGTGCAGATGCAGTTACGTACGTGCAACGATACGCGATCGAGATACAGTACGTGCATAGATGCAATATATATGTATACACACGCTGATTTGTATTCCACGATGCGAATATCTTTTGAGTCGTATAAGGACATAACGTATTTTAATAATCACCGCGCCATGCACTCTCCGAGCCGTACAAACGTGCAACGATTTCAAATAATTTCTCGTTACTGCACGGTAAAAAACATTTCGTATTTCTGTTGAAATTATCTTGTGTAGAAATTTTTGTGTTAAAATTTTAACATACTCTTATGTTAATATAACATATTGTCGTTATGTTATTTTGACATTTGTCTGTTGAGTTAATATTCACTATTTTTAAGTGTTAAAACAACACAATTAAATGAAAATGTACGAATTTTTGCTTATATTATATTTTTTGTGTTATTTTTTCACATATTACGTGTGTTATTTAATTACATAATTGTTTTCTGTTAAATTAACATTAAAATTAGAGTGGATAAATTGGGACATGTGAAATGTGTTAAATTTAACACAATTTTTTTTACTGTGTGTAACATTTTTACACATAGAAGAAACATAATAACGTTGATTATAGAATGGACAGAATACTATATCATTATTATTATTATTATTATCGTCGGGAAAATAATGGCATAAAAAATGGTAAAAACAAATATAAAAAAATTTTATTTGAAAAGTATATCTTTTGTGAAAATAATCCTTTTTTTTTTTTTTTTTTAATTTTTTGCTATATAAATTAGCGTGATTTGCCTCAGTATATCCGCCGAAACATTATTATTAGATCCTAATACGATCACAATGCCGCGTTCGCATCTCTTGCCACTCGATATCCTTCTCGGTAGTTTATCGCGCATCCCCCGGCGCTGCGTCGAAAATTGCAGCGTGCAACGTGGAAGATAAACGGCGGCGCGAGAGAGAGAGAAGCGCGTGGGGTGCACACGCGCCTCTCGTGTACGTGCGCGCTATTTATATTCGGGGTGTGTGCACATATCCGCGCGCGCGTGCACCGCGAAGCCGGCGATATTGCCTTTCTCGATTGAAACGGGGTAGCCGAGGGTGCAGCGATACTAGCCGCCGTGGCGCCGGCCGACTGCACGAATTTCGGAAATTAAAAGCTTCCTGTTTCGCGCACACGAGGAGAGGACTCGGTCGTTGTCTTTTTAAGGAAGTCGTGCTTCACCGCCGTGTTTGACCTCTTGCCATCGAATCGGCGCGAACCGCGGAAATTGAGGGAAAAACAATATGATAGGGTTTACGAGTGTTGAAAGTATTTGTTTTAGCACTTTGGATTATTTCCCTATGATTACGTCAACTAATTGCTGTAATATATATCTAAAACTTATTTCAGAGAAATAACATATTATTAAATATAATTAATAAAAATTTAGATGATTCTTGCATTAAGGAATAATTTGAAAAATTAAGAGATGTAAATGTATATATATAAATATTTAAATAAATATAATATATATATATTAAATTTATAATATACATTTTTATATACAATTATAATATTGATAACTTGAATTTTTGAATTTAAAACTGGTCTCCTGATTTTTCCTTAAAATATATGCTCTACAAATTTTTATATATATTTAAATAAATCAAAAATAAAAAAATTATAATGAAAAAAAAGTTTTCTCATAAGAGAGTACTATACATGTCATCTGTTTAATATATGCAAAAATTAAAAGATATATTTTTTAAATTAATTATATAGAAATGTGCTTTGCAAAATATAATAATACGAGCTTAAGTCACATATAATGATAGAAATATTTTAAATAAAAGTAATCACACAAAAGCGTGCAAACAGTCGAGATTAGCAATTTTCTGGAGACGATCTCGACACTATTATCCCGATTTATAATGTGTCTGCGAAACTAAATGGAAGTTGAACGTCGATCTGTGACGTTGATCGGTGCACGCGATTCATCTACGACCAACTTGGGACCGAAACTTTGGAATTCGCCGGTCTGTACGCAATTTATTATACTGACACGTCTACGAATCGCAGCATTGCGGTGACCGAGCTTAGTTTACTAGAACGTAATTTTTGCCATAAACATGCATTGTTTATAAAAACGTACAATGTGCATACGTCAGTGACGTACGCTCAAATCTATTATACGTATATAAAGTATTATATATATGTAATGAAATAAAAACCACACAACCACACACTTTTTCTTAATAATAGAATCTACGTAGACAGAGTATCGCGCAAATTAATAAAGAAATAAATCCTTTTATATTTCTTTTTAAATCCTTCAATTGATATTAATAAAGTAAACGTGATATTAATAAAGTGCAAAGTGATATTAATAAAGCTTTTTACATACGTAAAGCAATTTGATGAATAAACTTAGTAATTTTTAATCGAGGGCGGGTTTAATCAATTGTAAAAAGTAAGAAAATTTTAATACGCGTGGTTATTTTATAATGAAAATCATGAACTTTAAGTATACAAGCTTTGTTATCTTAATATGCTTAAGAATATATACTTATTATTTTATTATCACACAATGATTCAAGGTATCTAATATGCGTGCGTCCTATTTATGAGAACAAAACATGTTTATATACAATACATATGTCATATATAATGCATACATCTTAATACATCTACCTAAACGCGTTAAATTTCTGCATATATATCATCACCAGTAATTAATATTAATAATTATTCGCGCAAATTATAATTTGCGTGAATTGCATAGATAACAATGCGATGAAATGCGCTTAGATTGATAGAATAACACGTTATTAGTAATTAATTCTGATAACTCGACTTTTTGAAATTCCGAAGACTGATATTGATCATCACAAAAGCTTTTAACTATATAATCGGATAATAGTTAAACAACGCCTGATCAAATTTAAAAAAAATGTTTATCACAATCTAAATGTGTTCGAAAAAGATCTTGAATAATTCTTTTCAGAAAGAAAAGAGAACAAAAAAGTTTGAAATTAAAATATAAAAGCTATTGGATTTGAAGATTCTGTAAAATATGTACATATAAAAAATATTTTCTTAATTGATATAACATGAAACACACAAATATAAAGTCGCATTTAAAAAAAAAAGAATAGGCTTTATATTCTATTATAAGCAATGTGTAATCTACGGCGCGAAAACGCGCCTAAAAGAGCCGAAGGAAAATCGATCGGATGCCGGATATGAAGAAGTTGAAAAAAAATAGTGTTGAACGCTTACGACTTTGATTATTTGCATTTGCAAAAATTACTAAGTTTGAAATAAAAATATAAAAGCTATTAAATTTAAGGATTCTGTAAGATATGTACATATAAAAATATTTTCTGCATTCTTAATTGATATAATATGAAACACACAAATATAAAGCCGCATCTAACAATAAGTAAGAAAAAAAAAGAATAGGCTTTATATTCTATTATGAGCAATGTGTAATCTACGGCGCGAAAACGCGCCTGAAAGAGCCGGAGGAAAATCGATCGGATGCCGGATATGAAGAAGATTGAAGAAAATAGTGTTGGACACTTACGACGTCAATTATTTGCATGAGCGTGAGGCCGAAGCTCAGCGGAAGGGGATCGGACTCGTTGCCCACCGGCCGCTCCAGCACATTGTACGAGTCCAGCAGATCGTTCAGCAGCCGCTTCTCGTGTAAACCGCCACTTACCAGCCCTGCCCAATTACAATCAGTAGTCAGTGAGAAGTTGCGCGCAATCAGTCGCAACGATCACCTCGTCGCCGACGTCGCAACGCCTCGCTTCGGGAAAAGAAATGGGAAAACGGGAAAACGTATAGGAATGATTAATAATTGTCTCTCTCCTTCTCTCCCTTTCTCTCTCTTCTTTTCTCTATTTTTCTACTCATGTCCGAGCAGAGTTTATCGTCTTAGGACTGCAAGCGCAGACCTACCCTAGCTATTTAGTATCTACCCATCCCTCTTGCTACTGTAACCACCCTGGTCCCAAAGTTCTGGACTACTTTCCGCGAATACACAACTTCGCAACTACTCTCTTTCTCTCTCTCTCTCTCTCTCTCTCTCTCTGTCTTTCTCCCAATTTTCGTCTCTTTTTCTATTCCTCCTCTCTTTTCGTTATTTCTTAGTCGCTCTGTCTCTCACTCTTTTTCTCTGTAAATCTCTGTCTTCTTTCCCCTTTCTCGTTTGCTTCCTACCATTACGACCTGCAGTTTATCTTTCTTGAATAAATCACTCTTTTGTCTTTCTCTCTTCCTTTACACTACCCTATCACTTTTTATTAGACGGTTTTCCTCTCTCTCTATCTGCCTATCTTTTTCCGTTCCTCTACTTTTTTTTTATTTATCTTTAACTTTACCATCTTCTTTCTCTCCCTCCATCTCTTTCCCCCTTTCTCTCTCTCTCTCTCTCTCTCTCTCTCTTGTTCTCTTTTTCTTTCTTTTTCTGTCTCCTTTTCACCCTTTCTTTCTATGTGTTCCATTATATTACGAAACGTTTTATTCAGTTAAAGTACGCGAAAGTTTATGGTTCATAAAGTTTAGTAAGTTTCAGATAATTCTAGTACTAATAAATTTAAATTTAACGTATAAGACGGGCAACAGGAGCCAAATCGCGGATGACAATGCGTTATCCTAACGAAACTAAATAATTTTTCGTTAGAATTAAATACCGGTGCACAAGGCACCAAATTTTTACTTGGACACGGCCAAGATTTTAAATATGAAATAATCTCATATTTTGAGATTTAATTTCAATACCCCTTTAACCCCCCTACGGAAAATAAATAAATGAATGCAAGAGAAAAATATAGATCCGAAAATCGCTGAATCGGAAATTTGGTGCCTTGTGCACCGGTATTTAATTCTAACGAAAAATTATTTAGTTTCGTTAGGATAACGCATTGTCATCCGCGATTTGGCTCTTGTTGCCCGTCTTATACGTTAAATTTATATTTATATTACAGAGCCTTGTTAAAACTCTTATATATAATAAATTTAAAGTTTTTATGTCTTAAGATGTTTATTACACACTTAAACAAATTCAACATACTCAATTGAACAGAATTAACTTTATAGAGAGCAATTATAACATTTTTCTTTGCATAAAATTTTTATTTATTTTATTTATATATATATATATATATATATATATATATATTTTGATATATTTTTTTTGTGTAATATTGAATATACATGTATTTGGAAGACAAATAAAATGTATCTTCGTCTTTATTATTGTTACCTTAAGGACACGCATAAGAGACAATATAAAAATATAAATTAACTATTTAGATGCGATGCTAGGAATTTTCTAATAATAGTTAATACATACTAGGCCGAACGTTCAATGGATTAAAGCACAGATTAGTGAACTATTCGGCCTTGTAAATAGCTACATCGATGTATCGAGGATTTGATACTTGAACCAAAGTTTCATATTGCGGCCGGGAGTTTATCGACACTTATCGACATCTCAGGAAGTAAGATACTGTAAAGTTTAACTAGCTTAAAGCTGAACAAGTATAACGGTGACCTTTCATCAATCATAACCGAAAGAAATGTCAAAATATTTACATTCAAATATTTTGCGATGTTACGTGATTATTTGTAATGTAAAATTGATTTATTTATATATTTTTATTTATATATTTTGGAGTAAACACATTTATGCACATAATAACATGCATTATATATATATATATATATATATATATATTTCTTCATTCTTTTCAAATTTGTAATTATAAACAGCTAGGTTCAATAATCAGTTTTGATCTTTTGATATTAAAATTTTAAAATAAAATTATTAAAATATAATGACTCGAAATTAAATCAGAATCTTCATTTTAATTTGCTTCTAAATCAAAAACTATCAATATATCTTGATATTGAAACAAAGAAAAAGAATTCCCTGTTATTCGACTTCTTACTCAAAAGTAAGAACATGATACTCATAGTACACTTTGTAGAAATAACGAGAAACGATATAATTAATGCAAAGTCCTGTTCTCATCTCTAGAATCGCATCGACAACTGTAAAATCCAGGCTTGTTGCACTTTGTGTCGTTAGCATTTGCGTTTCCGTCGGAGGACGAGCAAAATTTGCATTACGTATACGCATTTACATTATAGCCCGCCCACGAAAGTCGGAACAAAGGTGCAAGAATACAAATTTAAACGGCGTGAGGCGAAGCTACTGTCAAGAAAAAATATGCGTAATTAAAGCAGGAACACCCCTGCGCTGCATAAATTCTTTCACAAAAGGCGCGATAATGTCGTGATCATAAACCGTTTCTCTTAACATTAACATAATCTGTGAGATACCATCGGAGTACCATATTAAAAAAAATTAACTTTTTGCGTCAAATTATATAATAGAGTCACAAAATTAATATAGTATGTCTTATTAGACTATAATATTTTAGTTAATTAATAATTTTGTTCTCTCTCTCTTTCTCCATCATGATGACACAGTAACTTTATTGAAGTCTCTTTTATGATTTGACGAGGATAATGTAATATTTTCGATGCTAAAAGAAATGAACGAAGAAGAAAGTTTAATATACTTTCAGTGGATAAGATTCTCTCGCTCTATTTTTACCAATACACCTAAATTTCACGAATGCAAAGTATTAGATACGAGTACATTTCCTCGCGACTGGCGGCATCTCGTCGCATCCTTGCGCAGAATGATGAAAAATGCACGCGCCAGTTTCTTCTCGGCGCTTTCGAGAAATTCTCGTTATCCGCGCGGCATCGTTCCATTTCTGTCGCACATGTAAAGAAAACGCCACTACGTAAACCAAATTGTAAAACTCTTAGACATACGGCATCCTTGGGAAATACGGTGGATAATTGAATTCATGAATGTTAAAGAAAGAGAGAGCGGAATAAATGCGACTTTAAGACTTTGTTGATACATCGCGTAAGACCCGAATTTAAAAAAAAATTATATTTTTCGTTAATTATTATTTTAATTATTTAATTCGCTGTATAATGAAAAGAACAGAAAGAATAATTTTTATATAAATATATACCCTAGAGTTCCAAACTTTACACATTATACAAATACAATTTCTTGGATTGTCTATTAAAACGGAAATTCAATTTTATACGCAATTTTGCAGACGCAAAATTAATGGTAGAACGCTCTTCACTTTAATCAATAAACTGGATTAGAGTTTATTCTTGAAAATACAAGAGATTAAAATCTCGAAAGCTTTATATGGGAGACCTCTAGCGTACTCTAATCACTGGAGTAAAAACGTCTTGACTTCTGTGTTGAGGCTGTGGCTTAATGATAACATTTTATCTTCCGGTAGAGTGAGAGTTTTAAGTTTCATACACGGACATTCACACGGAATTCCGCGGTTATGGTGCATTTTATTTCACTGTCTTCGCAGAAGATCAGACGATTTTATAACATCGAGCGCGCACAAAACGAAGAAAAGAATCGCTAACGCGTCTGAATATCGCACGATATTTTTTATTGCGAGGAAAATTAATTTTAGCTAATAGCAAAAATGATCATCAAGGAATTTTAAATTTCGATAAATATGTAAAATGCGCGTCACATATGAACCGTGTGTGACTAATATCTCGGTCGTAATAATTTCGTAAATACACCGTTTTAAACATTCGCATTTTTATTTAGCCGTAGAAAGAATAAAGAAAAGAAAAATCTTCTATCTATTATTAATAACAAAAATTATCTTTTATAGAAATAAAACTAAGATGTTATGAATAATGTTAATATCAATTATTCCAAAGACTTTTTATTGCTACACAGCACAAAATTTTTACAACAAATTTTAATAAGCGTACTGTTGGAATTAATATTTAATTAAACATTATATTTGCTAATTATAATATGAGATTAGATTATATGTGTGTGTAAACAATGGAACAAGTAATTATAAATTATTTTTATTTAAAAGAAACTTATATGTGGACGCTTTTTCCAATGAAACCTTACGTAGAAGTTCACGGGAATTTACACAAAGGACATTAATAAGATCTCTGCGTGTATGGAAACTAAAACTTCCTTTTATGGCCGACTTCCACACAATTCTTATCGGGATTTGAATTGTGGTAAGTGCAGGACTCAGTATTCTTCGAGGTATAAATAAAGATTACGACGCGCAAGTCTTGCCAGGATTACTAGATGGAAGATTTGAAAAATAGATTCGGGAATATTTTTCACCGGACATACGTGGCATCATAAATAAAAATGTTATATTTGTTCATGGAATCCTTCCCATTACGCATAACATATTATACAATATATGCCATATAATTGATGGATGTGAAGAGAAGAAAATTTATACGAAAATCTCTTTAACAAAACAACAACAACGAACAATAGTAACACAATTTTACAAGTTTTGAAAAGTAGTGTCACTTTCGAATGGGTATTACAATTCTATAGCGTGTACTGCATTGTTTCCGTACTGCTGCAAATTATCGAACGAGCCAAAGTGCAAAGTCGAATACACATCCATTTTTAACATTTTGTAAAACAAATTGTCCTTTTTTTTTATTATTTTACATAGCAAACGGTTGACAGTTTGACGAATTTTTGAAATATTGACTTTTATTCCCGTCGATAAGAAGAGACTTCGTCATGGTACGTGAGATAAATCTGAAGCTATAAAACATCTATGTCTGTACCTTATTCATGCCGGATTTTTGCCATAAAT